CTGTTTATGATAGCTCCCTTTATGTCTTATTCATGTATTCATTTGGAGCATATCTTGGTTTATGATGTGAGATATTGGTCTATAACTAATTTCTGCCATGCTGCTTTTCGTGGTTCTCAGAAGCTTTTGTCAAAAAGGAAGTCCTTACCCCCAGTGGTTATGATCTTTGGATTGACAGAGAACTAAACTACAAGGTTCACTGGCTTCTCAGACGATGCCCAGACTGCCTCTCCTTTAACACAAACTCTGGGATCAAGTTGTCACTTCCTCCCAACAATTGTATCGTTTCCACTCCAGTATCAAGTTCCTTCCTATTACTGAGAATCTGATTCAGAATAGTCAGTCAATGAATAGTTAAGCACTTACAATGTGCCAGGCACATTGCTAAGAAAGTGCTGAGGATACAAAGAAAGGCAAAAGACAGTCTCTCCTCTAAAGGAGCTCGGTCTAATGGGGAAGATAACATGCAAATAACTATGTAGAAACAAGCTATGGACAGAATAAAGTGGAAATAATAAGCAGTGAGAAGAGGCTAAAATTGTGGGTGGGGGATTAGGAAAGGCTTCCTACTGAAGGTAGGATTTTATCTGGAATTTAAAGGATGCCAGGGAAGCCAGAAAGAGGAAATGAAATGTTAGAGCATTCTAGTTATGGGGGACAACCAGGGAAAATACTCAGAGTCAAGTGACAATTCCCTTTTCCCTTTGTTGGTTTCTGCATTTTATGGAGGATCAAATGATCACTAATGCAATCCATGCAGTTATTAGCTAGAAGGCTGAGGAGAGGAAGCAGTAATCCAAGCTCTAATAACACTCCCCTTCTAATAACTTTAAAATGATGACTCAACATAAAATTCTCAAGTGGCAGAGTCAACAAATTTCAGGTTGAGACATTCTTCCAAGCCCAAGACAACTTGAGATGTTGGAAGGTGTTAGCAACAAAGATTTCAAGAAGCCATTGGTGAACCAGGGGAAAAACAAAACAAAACAACTTTTTATTAATGGCCTAGCAAGTCCAGGTATCCAGTGTGTGGGTACATCTTATAGAAGGGAGAGCAAAGGTTTTTATTCCTAGGCCTGAATTGCAGTTCCCTCCCCTGTTTCCACATTGGCTGGGTAACGCAGGGTTTACAGCCTACCTGGAGGTCCTAATTTCCCCACTTGAGTCTCTGCCCCTAATCACATCTCCCATGCCCCACATTTCCTTGTCAACAGCCTACAGTTGTCAATACCCCAACAGCTACTCATTACCCTGATGAGTGGTATGCAGAAGCCACATTCCCAACAACATTTCCTGCAGGACAGATCTGTAACTAAGTGGTGGAGGCTGGCTAATGTGGATGAAACAAAAATGGTGGGACTAAGTGGTAAAGTGAAAATGAATATCATTAAAATCAATTACTATTGATTACTTGGATTTGTGTTTAATTTGGCTGTAGAATTAATCTCCTTTCTTTAGGATAAACTAGCCCTAACAGCTAAGCTGAACTAACAGAGATATTCTCTTAAGTCTTGGTTACCAATAGATTTAGAGAATAGATTGATAAGATTTTATCATTTGCTAGCAGACAATTTAGAGTATGACGGAAATTATTGCGAGAATAAAATAATCATAGGATTATAAGAATCTTTTTAAAGGCTAAGTTCCCCTTTTCTCTGGCAGCTGGAGAAAGGGGAGTTGACTAAAGGTTAAGTTCTCTAGAGTTAGTGGATAAGCTCCTTTATTTTCTTCAGCTAAAGGCTAAGTAGAAATTTAGTAGCTTCATCTGCTAAGATTGGATTTCACTTTCTGACAGCTAGAGGATGGAGGGTAGGGAGTGACTACTAACTACCAACCACAAGTTTCTCTTTCCCAGTCTTAGTTCAAACTACAGGTCCTTTGAAAGGAAGCTTTCTGTGGGGCTAGAAGTGTGGAGCAAGGATGTCTGGTCTAATTTCTCTTTGACAGCCAAATGTTGCCAACACTAACGAATTTGGGTTAAGAAAGCCTGGGTTAAGCAAAGGAGTCAGATGATCTGCCTTGTCCAACTGAATTATGTTCAAAACAATTTTCCTAATCTTTCTGTAATTTTTAATTCCCCTTTTCTGTTGTAAAAATAAGCTCTGCAAACCTTTCCTTTGTCACTAATTACTGAGGAATTATTTGACCTGACTTAAGGGGAACCTGTCAACCATTACTATTAAATCATTATGTATTTATCTGGAAACTTTGTACTTCAGAATTCTTTCTATTTCAGATAATTAATTTTAATAGTCAGAAGCTGCAGCAGCTTTGGGAGCTCTCAAGCAAGAGACAGGAAGGGAACCTAGTAATTGGTCAGAAATAGATTATGGAGACCCCTGTGCTAGCACTAGATGCAAGATTGGAAGATGTTTGGACACTCAATTGACTATACAGACTTCTGGGTCAGAGGTCAAGGATGGGAGGAGGACTTTCTGGCAAGAGGGAGCAAGGACCCTGACGAGCAGTATCATTTTCAATCACAATGGATCAGGGACCCTGAGGAACAGTATTACTTGCAATCCCAACTGAATAGGGCACATGAAGGGCAGTGTCACTCTTGGTCAATAGGGAGCAGGAACTCTGAGGAGCAGTATTGATTGCAGTACCAAAGTATCAGAGGTTCTTCCTGGCTAAGAACCAGAGCACAGACCAAGAGAGCAGTGACTGAAACTCTCCAAATCACAACCGTTTGGAACCATTGAAAACTTTTAAGCCTCCAGAACTAGCTCTGAAAATAGTAGTGTGAAAAGATCTGAAGCTTCAGACGATTCCCTCCCATTACCATCTCCTCCTCCCCAACAAACACACTTAGGCTTTAGCTGAAATATAAAATGAAAGAGTACCAATCATGCTATCAGACAAACCAAAAGCTGAAACAGACCTAATTCACAGACATAAGCAGGGAAACTGTATCTTGCTAAAATGTACCACAGACAATAATGTAATGTCAATACTAACCAAATATGCACCAAATGCCACAGCATCCAGCTTTTTAAAGGAAAAGTTAAATGACTTACAGAAGGAAACAGACAGTAAAACTATACTAATAGGTGACCCCAACTTTCCCCTCTCAGAATTAGGCAAATCTACACATAAAATAAATTTAAAAATAAGTTAAGGAGGGGAAAAGATTAGAAAATTTAGATATGATGGAGCTCTAGAGAAAACTGAGTGGAAACAGAAAGGAATATGACTTTTTCTCAGCTGGACATGGTACCTTCATAAAAGAATGATATATGTTATCCCATAACAACCTCATAACCAAGGGGAGAAAACAGAAACATTAAATACAGCTTTTACAGACCACAATGGAATATAAATTCCAAAGATGTGGAAGCATAGATTAAAAATTAATAGAAAACTAAATAATCTAATCCTAAAAAAAAGTGTGTCATCAATCAATAATTTCATTAAAGAGAATTACAACAATGAGGCAACATAGCAAAATTTGTGAGATGCACTCAAAGTAGTATTTAGGGGAAATTTTATACCTCTAAATGCTTACATGAATAAAATAGAGAAAGAGGAAATAAAAAATTGGGCATGACATTTTAAAAAGTAGGAAAAGAACAAATGAAAAATCTTCAATTAAACATCAAAATGGAAATCCCTACATCAAAGGTAAGATTAAGAAAGTTTTTTTTTAAATCAAACTAATAAATGAAGGAGGTGGGGTTTTATGAAAATACTAATGAAACAGATAAACCATTGGTTAATTTGACTAACAAGAAAGAAGAAAATCAAATTTTCACTCAAAAATGAAAGGGTGAATGCATAACCAATGAAGGTGAAATTAAAGCAATGACTAGGAGTTATTTTGCTCAATCATATGACAGCAAAACTGACAATCTACATGAATTAGGTGTAAAAGGGGAATCAATAGCTAATTAGAGGAGCACGAAATAAATTACTTTTCACATCTATGGATAGGGAAAGAGGTTATGACAGAACAAGCCACAGAGAGAATCACAGAAAATAAAATGGATGATTCTGTTCTATACAGGTGAAATATTTTTGCACAAACAGATCAAGTGCACTTCAAATGAGAAGGTTAACAATTAAGTGAGGAAAAACTTCTTTGTAGTAAATGGACTGTTGCTTATGCAAGATATAGAAAAAACTGATACCAATTTCTCAGATTAAGAGTCATTTTCCAATAGGTCAAAGGAGATGATCAGGAAGTTTTCAAAGGAAGAAATCCAAGCTATCAATAGCCCTATGACAAAAATGCTCTAAATCACTCATAATGAGAGAAGTGCCCATTAAAACAACTCTCTTCTTTCAGTCTGTAAATCATAGAGGTCTGCAGGTTCAAGGGCAGTCCCCCCTTTCTGTTCAACAGCAAGATCCATGGAAACACCCCTTTTGCCAGGTGCTGGTCGAAACCAGAACAAAAAATAAGTATACTATTAAATTAAATGACACCAAACAAAAGAGATGATATGGAGAAGGGGAGGGGAAGAGTTCCTATACTGTCTCTTCTCTCCCCAGCCCTAAGGCCAAGCCAAGGATACGAGGAAGAGAGGAAGAAGGAATGGAAACGTCCACCTGAGAAGAGGAGGGAGAGCATGTCCCAAAAGTCTTCTCCCTGCTGGCCTCCAAGGCACCCTCACCTCACCTCAAGATCCCCCAAGCCTTCAGCCCTCTAGCCAGAGGTCTGGGCAGATAGGAAGCCCTAGGCAGGAACAGCCCTGAAATAGCGGGCCCACACATGTTCACTCCTGAACGTAAACACACATACATACAACATATGAAACCAACATAGACACTCTCACTCATACAGATGATCCTACCTACATACACATCAGAGGCGTAAATAAAGGTATTGATACTCCCAGGACCTTCCATCCACCCTTACACACATCGCTCTGAGCACCAAGAGAAGGCAACTGTGGAGGGAGGGATTCATGAAAATGTTGGGGTCGGGGGGGAGGAAGGGAAGAGAAGATAAGAAGAAAGGGAGCAGCTGAGGCAAGAGCAGGGGACGGAGCACTTACCTCACACACTGCCACTTGGGCACTCGCAGGACCCTCAGGGTCTGTCAGTCTGGAAGGTGGAGATGAGATGGGCTCAACGGGGGGAAAGGGTGTGGGGGGGAGTGGAAGGGAGGCGGGTGAAGGGTACGCAGACCCCGAGCTGCTAGCGCCCCACTCACATCCCCCTCTAGAGACAAAGAATTCTTATACTTAATAGAAGGTGGGAGGGAGCGGGCATTGTGACGTAACTGCAGGGCGGGGATAGTCTCTTCCCAGAGCAGAGGAGGAAGGGAAGAGGGAGGGGAGGGGGCTGTGTGACAGAACAGCGGGGTGCCCCCCACCTGGTAATTTCTCTCAGTCCTCATCACCCAAACTGACTAGGGGAGGAAGCCGCAGTTCATCCTCCATCTGGAGGTGTGCTCGTGGCTGACATGAAGTTGAGGGGCAGCAGCTGAATTTGGCTTGGGGTTGTGGAGGAGAGGCCCCTTTACGGAAATGGAGAGGGGAAGGAGAAAGAGGGGAATGGGGAGGTCGAGGCAGGAGTGTCCTGGTCTCCACAAAAGGGAAGACCATTGTAGTTGCAGCAAAATTTACAATCCACAAGCTCCTGAATGGGACCTGAAATCCTCACAACCCCCAGCGCTGAGGAGGTAAGGGCTCGTCTGGGGTAGGGGAGGGTCTCAGCCTCCTTTCTCCATGTAGGAGGAGACAAAGATTAGGCCTGGAGGGGTAGGACAAGGGGCCACCCAGGGAGGCAGCACTTCTGCCTCCTCCGTTTATGCAGAGCCTGGACAAGTGAAAGCCACACCCTCCTTTCTGGCTCATTCTTCTCTACCAAGTGACTTTATATATTTCTTTTAAAACTATTTCAAATTTGGGGCTCTATTCTCTCCCAACACCAGCCATCCTGCCACTAGTGAATTGGCATAGTGGAGAGACACCTGGAATTGAAGTCACAAGACCTAGACTGATATTCATTGTATGACCATATGCAAGCCACTTAAAGTCTCTAAACCTCAATTTTCATATCTGTAAAATGGCAGTGAATGTAACACCCATGCTAAGTAAATAACAGGGAAATTGTAGGGTTCAAATGATGTTTGCAAAGTGCTTTTCCAACCATGACACACTAGAGAAGAGTTTATTATTGATGTCTGATAGTCTTTTTGAAAGCGTGTACACATCATATTGTTGGTATTTTTCTGTTTGATATCCTTCAGATCATGGCACAGCGTTACTGTCTTTTGTAAGTGATTAAAAGTAATGTAATATTAACCCATCTGCTACAGGCTCCATGAACACATCTTTAGGACAATTCTAGGAGGAGACAGGGCTGTGGGGATGAAATGATCCTCATGCTGATCCCACACGGTTTTCAGTTCTTCCCCTAGGTTGCTATACTTTGAAAGCTTTTCATCTATGCAGCTTAGAGATTAGGAACACTTGGTATGCTATTAAAAACATTGTTCCAGAAATTGTATGGATCAATGTTATGACTAAGAGATGGGGGTGATCGTTTTATTCCATGACAATATTCCTGCTCCATTACAATATATTTTTAAATTCTCAAGGATGTCCTGAGGTTTCCATTTGTAATATTAACATTTATCATCTGTTCACTTTGGAAAGATATTAAGCTTCTGATGGAAAATTCCAGCCACCAATACGTTTCATTATGTGCCAATATTTTACAACCTACACTGAAGTGTTGCTCCATTTCTACCATTTCCTTACATCATTTATGCTGATTACTAAATCTGGGCTCCTTAAGCACAATCTTTCTATTATTTCTGCTGACAGTGACCTGATGTGGGAAACTCCTTCCATTTCTATAAACAACATCACATGGCAAGCATGTATTCAGTGGTTCTCTATACACACATTATTCATTGAATTCATGTGGAATTTCACCTATGGAGTGCATTTGTCTTCCATTTTGGGATGTTTGCTATTTTATTGGATTCCCTCAGAGACTAAGCACTTTCAGACACACTGAATACTAGGGGGTGAGAATCTAATTTACTTCCTCTTAAAACTTACTTTTACTATTGTGAAGTGAAGTGATAAATCTCTTTGTTGCAAAAATATTTCTGTCAGTTTTAAACTTATTTAATATGTTCTTTGAGAACATCCCTCAATCCCTTCCCTCCTCTTTAATGAGAAAGTGCTGATCTCTGTATTTCATTATTAGGTAGATTTTTCTTAGGATACTTTCCAAATCTGTTTTTGTTGATTTTTGCAGAAATGAGAAGGCATTTCCATACTAGATTCTATCTAAGAGGATTGCTACTTTAAGAAGGGAATCTTCTGGGAGGGGGACTGGAAAGCAGGAAAGGCTCCCCTTGATTTGGCAGGAAGAGGGTTCCCAGGGATGGCTGGATAACTCTGAGAGTTACAGGCACAACTGTAGCTGAGGTAATATTTGGGCTACTCTGGTCCAGGACGCATGAAACAAGTGCTGTATGGAGCTCCAGTCAAGGTAGGCTTTCCAATCAAAAAGGTTTCTAAGCATGCTCAGGAGACACTTAACACTTCCATTTCACCCAGGCAGACTTAGTTTAGGAAGAGAAGGGATTCTCACCAAAATACAAGGACTTCCTGAAGCCCTTAAACCAGGAGCTAAGTCCTGATTTTGTTGCCACATAAATGTTCTAATACTGATATCACCTGTCATTAAGAAAGAGTTCATTTGTTTTCCTTAAAGGGCATCACTAAAAACATTTTTCAGTTAGGGATTGAGTTCCTGCTATCATTATCAATACCCAAAGTCCAGAGTACACACAGATCAAACATACAAGTACATACAAGAGTATCTCCATTGTTATACTGCACCCTTCTAACAGAACTGGAGCTTCTTGCCAATGGCAGAGATTGCCAAGAATGACATATCATGCTCTACCCACTGGAGTTTACCCTTTCAAATGCCTTACACTTTTTCTCCATGCATACACCTGACAAAGATCGCAGAGATGCAGGAGATGACAGCCTTGCTGAAATGGGAGCAAAATCCTGAAAAGGGAATCTGGGCTGCTCAGCGTTAAGGCAGGCACAGGTCTAGGAGAAGCACTGGGAAGGCAATCAATATGAATGGCCTTATTGTGGAAACCCTCTAACTAGGTCTTGAAAAATCATACACATGCCCTTCCAGGCACGGTAGTCCTTTCATGCTTTAGTTCATACATATTCAAGAGCTTTTACCTTATTTCAATAATGAGCACAGTAGAAAGGGGTTTACATATCATATCTCAATTGATTTCATTTAGCAACTGAACACATTATCACCCTCCTAGTTAGGATCACCACAGTACTGGAAGTTTTGCCCCTTTTTACATGACTCATATTTCAAGTTAGTCTGTACACAGTGGAAAGTCCTGAAATAATAGTAAGAATGATCAACCTCAATGTGGAATGAGGCAAGATGTGATTATGAGGAAATGATAGAACCAGATACTTAAGTAAGGATGCTAGCTAAATGATGTAATTGAAGGGACATAATGTACAAAGACATTGCTCCTTCTGTCACTCCCTTCCTCCAACCTTAGTTGAGAAGATCCACCAGACACACTTGTATCTGTAGAGGGGTCCTGACTGCCTTCCCTAGAAGGATTTGGTGGGCTCTTCTAATAGAAGGGGCATATTTTCAGTAAGCAGGAAAAGAGCAATTGGGAGGATGAGAACCCTAAGCCAGATCAGCACTTTGAAAGGGGCAGCTCCATGCAGCCGAATTCTTGCGATGCAGCACAAATTTTCTGAGAGGGTAACAAAATTTGGTGAAGAATTGAAGGAATATGAAGATTTCTTTCACATCTCCAGCCTTGCACAGGAACAGCTAGGGGAAGCAATTGCTTCAGGGGAGAGGCAGTGGAGCTAGATTGAGGAAGTTCCTCTATGGAGAAATGACTGGCTTGAGGGAATGGCCTGGGTGCTGTGCACAGAGTAGCATCAGAGAGTCAAGGCTTGCAATAAGATACCATGCAGGTGTCTGTTTGCAACGGAATATAGGGAAAGAGAGACAGGTGAGTGTGACAGAGTAGGCACCTTGGGAATCAGAGGAAGAAATTTGGGACTAAGATTGAGAGGAGGGGATGGCTTGAGGGGGACAGTGGAAAAAAAGAGAGACTCTATTGGTATTAGATGTGTGACCTAAAATTTGTTAGGTGTCACTCTACTGCTAAGGTACAGAAAATGCCACCAAATAACATCCAAATTCTACACTCAGTTATATTTTCCCTGAAAAGTTCAAACATAAGCAAAGGGAGATAGTCATGTCTGTGGTATTATTTGATGAATACTAAAAGGCCCTCTTGCCATTAGAGATCAAGCAACTAAGCAGCAAGCACTTATTAAGCACCTACTATGTACCAGACACTGTGCTAGGTACTAGGGATACAAAAAAACCAACCAATCCTTTCCTTTGAGGAGCATATATTCTAACATGGAAGACCATATGTGCATGTGTGTCTGTCTGTGTATAAGTGTGTCTGTGTGTATCTGTGTATGTGTGTGTATACACATATACACATATTTGTGCCTTCTCTAGGTCAGAGTGGTGAGGGAGGGAGAGAAAAAATAAAAATTGCACAGTAGAGAAGAAAATAAAGTTGTGAGGGCAACATAGCATAGCAGAGTAGCTTTAAAATGATGTGATGTATTTATTACATAAGTTTTTAAAAACAGTAGGCAGTGTAAAATGGAAATTCATGGTTTTATATTGAACCCTCTTTTTATACTCTACTGTGTACTTGCAAATGTTCTCTTTTTTGTCTTTTTGTATTAAACTTCAAATGAATAAAAATTTAAAAAATAAAAACATAAAAAATGCTCTAAATCACTATTGATGAGAGAAATACAAATGAAAGCAACTCTGAGGTACCCCTTTACCTCTATGAAATTGCCTAATATGACAGAAAAGGAAAATGCTATGCTGGAGAGGATGTGGAAAAATTGAGAAACTAATGAACTGTTTTTAGAGCTGTGATCTAGTCAAATCATTCTGGAGAAGTATTTGGAACTATACCCTAAGGGCTATAAAACTGTGCATGCCAAACAACAGCATTACTAGATATATATCCCAAAGAGATAAAAAGAGGAGTGAACCTATTTGTACAAAAATATCTACAGTAACTCTTTTTGTGTTGACTAAGAACTGGAAAATGAGGGGATGACCAACAAATGGGCAATGACTGAACAAGTTGGATTGTATGATTGTGATTGAATACCAGTGTGCTATATAGAATGAACAGGATGGCTTCAGAAAAACCTGGGAAAATATTCTTGAACTGGTACAAAGTGAAGTGATCAGAATCAGGACAAAAATATACACAGCAAATTTAATGTTGTGAAGATGATCAACTGTGAAAGCTTTAGCTCCTTTGATCAAGATCCTTTGATCATTATCACAGGAAATTCCAAAGAACCGCTGGGGAAAAAATGGTATCCATTTCCAGAGGATGAACTGATGAACTCTGCATGTAGAGTGAAGCAGTTTTTTTTTTTTTAGTTTTCTTTATTTTTCTTGTCTTTTTAATGTGTGTTTTTTGCAACATAGCCAAAAGGACAAAAAATAAAAAGTC